TCTATTTACTTGTGACCACTCTGTTTATATCTGTAGAATACATACAACGAATATGACTTCTTTTATGTGTTAGTAGTGTTTAATGATGTTCTGATCTTTTCTCGAGTTAAAGTGTAAATGTGTTTGGCTTTTTCATCACAGACATAGTCAGCTTGTCCTTTACGTTAGACTTAATGTACCAGTATAACACTTGAGAGTTTGATAAACCGTTTACTACGATGTGTTCTGAATGTGTTTTGTAAATAAGCTAACATGATAAATATTAAATAATTTTATTTTGAACTTATCCATAGACTATACAGAGTTGGTTGTCTATCACAGGTATCTTCTTGTGTGATGGATTCTCTGATGGCTAAATAGTTCAAGATGGAATTGGAAGGTACAACTACATTCATGACAAACTGATCCAGATGGAGAAGTTTGATCTGTAAGAACTTACCACTTTAATAGTTTCCTCAATGAAGCATGTTTCAACAATTGTGATTCTGTTTAGAGAAATTCACCTGCACTCAGGTGGATCTTGGAGCAGGAACTCTCAGTTGTTGTAAAGGATGTTGCTTTGTGTATACACTCCACTCAGGTGGATATTGGGCAAGGAACTCCCTATTGTTTTAAGGGATGTTGCTTTGTGTATACACTCCACTCAGGTGGATCTTTGCCCAGGAACTCCCAATTGTTGTAAGGGATGTTGCTTTGTGTATACACTCCACTCAGGTGGATATTGGGCCAGGAACTCCCAATTGTTGTAAGGGATGTTGCTTTGTGTATACACTCCACTCAGGTGGATCTTTGGCCAGGAACTCCCAAATTGTTGTAAGGGATGTTGCTTTGTCTATACACTCCACTCAGGTGGATCTTGGCCCAGGGACACCCAGTTGTTGTAAGGAGTGTTGCTTAATAATTTTTGTGTTGATCTTCTGGTTGTATTTATAATACTTGCATTGTCCTCTGCTAAAATCTTGAACCAACCTCAAGTTGATTCAGAAATATGACTTGAGCAGTCTGTTATCGAACAACAGGACTAGACAACATGACCAGCAGAGTTGGTATTTGACAAATGTGGTCTCAACCTATTCATTTCATTTTTCAGTATCTCTGGGTCAGGAATCTACCATCACGATCTTGTAAAGGTAGCTCAGTTGAAAAACATCCATCTGCTTCATGTAATATTCCATGTTTCATAAGCATACGTCAGTGAAGTTACATGTGTCTGCTCATTTATCATTTGATTATTGGATTAATGATATTATTGCTCTTTTGGTAGTGATTAGATTTTTGTAAAGTTTTGTTTATTCATGTAAAAAAAATATACAAATTGTAAAACAATTTTACCAGTAAATAGTTGATTCCATAATAATTGTAACAAAAGGTTATTTCAGTTTTATTTAAATTCATAGTGTGTGTTTTCTTTCTTTTTTTTAAATATTTGATGTACTTTGTGTAGAAGCGTCATTAAATCCAAGATTTTACGAAATGAAATTCTTTTACAGAGGTTCACAGATTGGAGTCTTCAGGATATAGAATCTCGTGTCACTCAACTGTGTCTTCCCTATGTTCAAATCGCATCATTACTCCAGCATCATCTGTACAATGAAAACTTACCGGAAATACAGGTTTAGTTCATCAGGTGTTTTTACCTAATTATAAAAACCAGCATGAATTCCTGTTATAAAACTACTGTAGAAATAAAAGGTAATTTTTAAACAATCACAGGATCCTAAACTGAAAAACTAAAAGGTAAAGTTCTCAGTAGAAAAAAAGAATTATAGTAGTTTAATAAAGGACTGATATTTTGGTATATAACATTAACAAATTCTGTAAAATAAACTATGAATTCATGTGTATGTGTGTGTGGTGGAACTTCTGATACCAGTCATTGTTTATTGCTATACAGAATACTGATCTGGAGTTTTCCTCGTTGTGCTCCTATTTGGGGCTCTTTTCATCTAGTCCATCATCCAGTGTCCAGTGTTTAAACTGGGCTACTCCAGAACCTTTGGTTCTCATTAGGACCTGGTGTCAAGAATACATTAACTTTGTAAACAAATCTGTCATTGCTGCAAGGGTAAGTTACATTGATGATTTTTCATTATCAAGTTAAATGAATCCATATAGATTTGTTTTGGAGAAGTTTACGCTTATGTGAAACTTCTTAATAGATTGAAATGAATTATAGCTCACAAAATAAAATTTTAGTATTTTTGGTTTTAGACTAACATTTTTAAAATTATGTTTTAACACAAAAGTCTTGAAAGATCAAAGCTTAAACTGGACTGGAATGTTTTTTATAAAGTAATAGCTACTAAGTAAATAGTTCGGACCTTTTGTATTCAGATAGTTGATTTAATTTGTTTCTTGCAGAATTTGCTGGACCAGCCTCTTATCTGGCATCAACCTGCTGTCCTTCAGCTTCCTCACGAGTACTCCAGGATCTTCCAGTTCTACCACCAGAGGGCTTGTTCTGTTTGTCACAGTGTCCCTAAAGACCCTTCTTTATGTCTAGTGTGTGGAAGTTTAGTGTGTCTGAGAGGAAACTGCTGCCAGAAACAGTCTCTTTGTGAAGCTAGCAGTGTAAGACTACAGTATCGTAAACTGCACGTGGATAGTTGTTTAACTGCGTTTAAAATTACACAAGTAAAACTCACTTAGCAGAGTGACTAGTCCGAGTAAATAACCAATCGTATTAATGATATTAAAATTGGCAGATGGGTTTTACTGCTATTGTTTCCTAGAATTACTTAGTATTATAAATTAATTCACACTAAAAATCAAAACCTTTAACTCTTGCTGTTAGCAATATTTTTATATATGTTTGTTGTATTCTAACATTAACTTTCTATGCCTAAGATTGTTATACTGAACATAAATATAATGTACACAAAAAGCAGCATTTCTTGAATAACCTTTCATGAATAATTGAACATTGTTATTATGGACTCAGCCTTATATAAATATTTTGTGTAAAAGAAAACGTTAAGATGATTTTATGTAAAAAAAAATAAACTGAATGAGTTTATTTTGTGTATTTTATTTTCTGATCTCCAAGCTGTTCCTCTTCGTAGATTCGTTTCGTTGTCTAGGTGCATTTCGTTTCTTAGTTTACTATATAGTAACATATCACAGTTACATTATTAGATTCATACATGTTTTCTGTGCTTTGCACTAGGAATGTTAAACTTTTTAAAGCATCTTAACTATTTTTCTCCTTCTCTCCAGCATTCTATCAGTTGTGGGGCAGGGACAGCTATGTACCTGGCAGTTAGCTCCTCACTGATCATCGTCATTAGAGGAAAAAGAGCGTGTTTGTGGGGTTCCGTGTACCTTGATAGCTATGGGGAAGAAGACCGAGACCTAAAGTGAGTTGCTAATGATCCTCAATCTTAACCATATTTGACCTGTAGCATAATATCTTGGTGAACATTAATGGTAACTTTCACATGTGTTATTGATAGCTATGGGGAAGAAGACCGAGACCTAAAGTGAGTTGCTAATGATCCTGAATCTTAACCATATTTGACCTGTAGCACAATATCTTGGTGAACATTAATGGTAACTTTAACATGTGTTATTGAGTTGATGAACAGTTGTGGTATTCTTCTTCATGTTGTTAAGTTGATGAACAGTTGTGGTAGCTTCCTCATGTGTTATTAAGTTGATGAACAGTTATGGTATTCTTTCTCATGTTATTAAGTTGATGAACAGTTGTGGTAGCTTCCTCATGTGTTATTAAGTTGATGAACAATTATGGTATTCTTTCTCATGTTATTAAGTTGATGAACAGTTGTGGTAGCTTCCTCATGTGTTATTAAGTTGATGAACAGTTATGGTATTCTTTCTCATGTTATTAAGTTGATGAACAGTTGTGGTAGTTTCCTCATGTGTTATTAAGTTGATGAACAGTTATGGTATTCTTTTTCATGTTGTTAAGTTGATGAACAGTTGTGGTAGCTTCCTTGTATTAATTTGATGAACATCTATGGTAGTTTCCAAATGTGTAACAAGTAATAAAAAATTCTTTTTGCCAAAATTAAGTGTTATGTAGGGATGGCAGTGCCAAAAAGTATGGAAACAAGGTAGGGATGGATACACAAAACCATACAAAAATCACTACATAAGTAGCCAAATATTTCCAAGAAAAATTTATTTACAACTAAGAGTTGAATTCCTTTCATTTGTGTGAATTCAGGTTTGAATAGAATAATTTAAACTAAATAGTGCTATACAGTCTTACAGTAGCTAATAACCATAAGCTTGTAAGATTAACTCAGTAATTACTGGCTACTTGTACAAAAAAAAAAATATTAATTGTTCTCCCTCTTTTTTTGAACAATTTCATTGAAGTAGGTTAATAAGTCAATTTTTATTTTATTTTTATAATTCAATGGTAATATAAATAAATTGTTAACATCATATCAGTTTTTTCAGTTTCTCTAATTTTCGATTACACTGGGGGCCAGTGAAGCTGGAATGATTTCTCCGGGATGGTATGAGTATTCCAGAGTGCTGGACCAATGTTTAGGGGATATTTACAGAACCCACACCTAACTTCACCCCCAACTCACTGCATGTGCATACAATTGATACCAGTACATGCTAGTGTAATGTCGATTAATAGGGAGGACATACAGATCCCAGGTTATAAAGTATTACACTACACATACACACACAGTTGCCAGGCTTGGCCCCACTGAAAATTTGTAGAAAAGTAGACTACTATATAATGTATTGATTTGAAAGTTAAGAAACTGTTTTTTATAAACTGAGACATAAATAACGTGTAAACATATTTTTCAGTTACATAAATACTTAATCTTCTTGATACCTTAAATATTAATTGAGATTATTCTTTCTTTATTTATTTATTTTTACTGAAATTGTTTTGGCAGATATCATGTTTGTGCAATGAAAAGTCACAAATAGTTGTTATATAAGAACAACTTGTGCTGCCATTTAGTGGCTAGACATGAAACTTATTTATGAACCCTGGAAATAATATGCTTATAAACTGAACTCAATGCTAAGTAGTAGTTTTCCTTTTTATTATTTCCACACAAAAATGCATGTGGTAGAAGAACAGAATAATACTATTGTTATACAAGCTGTGAAACAATCGATAATGGTAATTAGGTGCTCAGATAAGTCTATAACTCAACCGTAGCAGTTATTTGTAAGCATCATAGAGCAATAGATTGAATGTGATGGCCATTTTTTCTTGTCCTTACCCTACATTCTAAGCATTACCGTAATAGTCTGTTCCCAAGTAGTCTGTTGTACCATTAAGTAACTGAACATTCATGGTAGTTTCCATATGTGTTATTAAGTTGCTTAATCTATCTATTTACCACTCAACTTTTGGAGTTAATAATTAGGTTTTTGAGCTCCAAGTAATAAGTTACTCTTATGTAAGTAAAGAAAATAAAAATGACTCAACCCTTTAAGAGATTATTTAAAAACCACCAAATCCATTGTTTCATGTTTAGATAGTTTTTTTTTGTTTTTTTTAATTTTTTAGAATCACATTATCTAGAATTGTGATCACTTCCAAATTATTCAAACTCAAGTGTTTGTAATATACAGATCATCCTTTTTGTGTATTTAACTTCAGTTGATTTAATTATTGAAACTCCGTTCAGTCTGAATTGCACCATCAATATATAATGCTTGCAATTTTCAGGAAAAAGGTTAAGTTAGTTTTGTGAAAAACAAACCGGTTCAGCTTGATGGCAGCAAAAACTATATAACTTTATTATGTGTAAATCATTACATTTGATATGAATAAATTAAAAAATACTGAGGTATATTTTGTTGGAGACATGGTGAGCTTGCCACGATTAGAGTAAGAGTAAAATATATTTTTCATTCTCAGTAATAGATCATTTAATTAAGGATGTGTTGATTTATTTAAATTTATTGTTTTTATGTACCATGAAATTACTTGTGGGATAGCATTAACCCATTAACTGCGGACGACAGGTATTTCCGTCATTGAAGTTCTATGGCTCATCCGTGAATGACGGAAATATCCATCAGTCGCACACATATATATAACTAACTATGCGAATGATGAAAATGACCATTTTATTGTGATTGATGGCAGCTCGGTTTTATCTGTGAGTCAGAAAACGGCAACTGAGCTGCTCCTGCCGCAGTTAATGGGTTAAGTCAAGAGACTTAAAATGCTAGAATCCAAGGTTCAGTTCCCTGTGGTGAGCACAGCAGACAGCCCAATGTGGATTTGTTCTAAAACAACAACAAAAATATTTTTCATTGATACCAGAACTTCAAGGTGTTACTACATGATCGTATAACTACTCCGTTAAGGTTAACCCTCCAGTGGCACAGCGGTATGTCTGCAGACTTAAAACTCTAAAAACCAAGTTTCCATACTCCTTGTATACAGAGCACAAGTAGCACATTAAAACGACAAACAAACATTACAGTATTTTATGACAGAAGTTGTAAAATAAAAGTGTTATTTGCTGGTTTTCATACATGCTAGAAGATAATGTATTTTTAAACAAAAATCAGAAAATTAGTGTATATATATGTCTTATTAAGTTTTTGTTACAGCTGTTATTTTATAATAGTGAAAATTACCTAGAGCATTGTAAAAATATTGAGTTGTATTGCTACAATAAAAAGAAAATTTTCATGCACTTGTCATAAAAGTTACAATAAAAGTTTCTCTTGTTTCTTACATAGACGAGGAAAACCATTGTTCTTAAGTCAGGAAAGGTATAACTTGCTTCAGAAACAGTGGCTTGGGCATCGTTTTGACCACACCAACAAGCGATGGGTTTGGCACAAAGACAACCTTTGATGTCATCTGTGTTATAAATCTTATATCATTGGGTATAGTTAAGCTCTCGGTGAAAGGACATCTAACATGGAAGTGCAGATAAATAAAAGTGAGGCTTGGGGATGATGACGTAGAAATTATTTCAGTTGAGAGGGTGCCTTTCCCAGTTTTTAAAATGTTTTTATTTATAAGTTTTGCTTCTGTATATAAAAAGATTTTGTTATGATGATGTAACATATCCTTCAAAATTTTAATATTAACAGGTGACAAATATATAAATAAATGAAACTAAGCCTGAAAAAAAATGGCTGATTGTAGCACGAAATGAGAAGTTTTGAGATATTTCCGGGACTTCTATGTAAAGAACTAGAATTTGTACAGAGACAAAGTTAACTATTATAGAAAATATTAAAAAAGATGGCAACAACTATTAGAAACAAAAGGCAGGCATTAACGTAACATTCTTTTCTGTTTCTCATTGAATTAAAGAAAAAGAAACAGGTTAAACTAAATTATCCATTTATTGTGAATTGTAAAGTATGTATTGATATAGTCAAAAAACACAAAGATTCTCAAGCACCAGTTGGTTGATTTCGAATTGTCTTTCTACGGTTTATTCCTTTTTAAGTAATGATCTGAAAATAATGATTCCCGAGATACTTACAATTAGATGGCAGATCAGATAAATTATGTAAACAGTCACATCCATCATTTCTAATAATTATAGTTCTCTTTATTTTTCTTTCAAATAAGGCATTGAATTCTCTCTTCAACCAAAGCTATCCCCAAGTCATTTTACCATGTTAGTTTTTGTTTTTTTTCTATCTCTCTCTCTCTCTTTGATTATAGCTATCCCCTTGTTTTATTTCTTTCTTTACCTCTTTGATCATAGCTATCCTTGTGTCCTGTTCGTTATGGGAATGTTTTATTTTGATATGTTTTTTTACATACAGTTTTATATTGGTTTAAAAAAATGTATTCACATCTACATTATTATATATATTGTTAAAACAAGTATTATTTAAATTTCTTGCACCATCACACAGGAAAAACAATTGTAATTACAGTAACAGGTGTGTGTGTGTGTGTGCATTCTCAGTTTAGGGTATGTTCGTTTTATTTGAATTCACAAATGAAATTAGAAACTCGTTTTTGTTTTGTTTGTTTTTCAAGATCCATATTAATGTAGCAAGAATAAATATTTAACGTTAAAAACCTTCTTTGTTTTCAGTCTGAAATGTTGTTCACGAGACTTTATATGTGAAATTCTGACATCTTACTGTAACGATATTAGCAAAAAAAAAACATTGTTATGCTATTAGTTGATTAGTAGTGTCAACACTGTTTTTTATCGAGGTTGCATACATAGTACACTTTGTCTTTAACAACTTGTATTGTTCTCTGAAGAAGAAATATAACTTTTTTGATTGGAAGAATGTTTTTCAAAAAATGAGAAACGCTTGAGGTTTTTATTCTTATTAAAAAACTGTTTTCATCTTTGACTGCTTCAGCTGCATTGACAATATAACGGTTTCTTTTGAGCGAGTTACTTTGTACTTTATTTCATGAGCTCTTTATTCTTCAAGTTTTAGTGCATTTAACAAAAAAACAAGAATCATTTGCTTAAAGTTTCTTATCTAAAGTTCAGGAGTGTTCCTTTTGTGTACAGACTCGGAACTTTTGAAATGATAGTGATTTAGTAATGTTATGTCGTGTATGAATGTTTTGAAAAAATGTAAAAACTAACACTACGCAGCTCGGTTACTGACGAGTTTTAAGGATTTTGCTTAGTAATATAGAATAAAGAAATTGAAAATACATCTGGTGTTTAGATTTATTCAGTAGTTTATATTAAAAATATCAAAATTGACATTCACCAGGCAACAGTATTGATTATTATTCACCAGGCAACAGTATTGATTATCATTCACCAGGCAACAGTATTGATTATCATTCACCAGGCAACAGTATTGATTATCATTCACCAGGCAACAGTATTGATTATCATTCACCAGGCAACAGTATTGATTATCATTCACCAGG